AGAGAGAGAGAGAGAGAGAGAGAGAGAGAGAGAGAGAGAGAGAGAGAGAAAGATGAAAAAAGCATGTACAAATCTAGCACAGAGGCACAGTAAACACAGCCGGCCTAAATTCTAATTTAGACTAAACTCCCAAGTCATTGCAGCCACGCGAAAGCGTGGCAACAGTTAAAAGTTAAAGGATCAGATATTGACATTAATTATATATGTCATTTAAAAAATTGAAAAGCTTGTAATTATATCTGCATTGGCTAACCTTTATGAAAGGGGGGGGCATTGAAGCTTATCGCGCCAAATAATGCGGACGAAACCATTTAACCATTCATTGACTTAATTGACTTTATTAACAAGGAAACACCAAGAATACATTAATGCTTCTCAAGCGACGATAAGGATAACAGGAGCAACCTATTTCCATAAGCGGGCAGAGAGAGACAAGGGGGTCCCAATCCAAGCAGCAACCAGCAAGAATTGCTTTTAAACAAATTTAATAAAACCTACAGGAAGGAGACCACACAACAGAGGCATACTCAAGTATTGATATAACTAAGCACATGTATAGCCTTTTTGTAACGTAAGTATCCCTCACCTCTGTGGATCACCGTCTAATGAAACCGAACGCCGACCTAACTTTACTTGAAGAGAGCAAAGAATTGCTTTTGAACAAATTCAATTGAATCTACGCACTCGAGTATTGGGCTAACTAAGCATGAAGCTCTTTGAAAGAGCTCGTAATGAAACCTAGCATGGACCTAACTTTACCTGAAGAGAGTTCAGTGTACAAATTAAAACGTAATCTTTCGTCGAATAGAACCTCTACAGCGATGAAGGAATCAACCTTGTCCAGCTTATGTGAATCAATGAAATACTCAGTATTGAATGAATTCTTTAATGAGAAAGAAAGCTTCTTGCATTTTTTTTAAATTTAATTTCATCAGATTTAATGAGCACCGTGTAACCAAATTATTTAAGTCAATTTGAAGCTGATACGATTGCATTTCCAAGGCGAAGGAAGAAAACTGTTTAATATCGCCAGCGTAGATTGGGATATGGCTGGATTTAATCATAGAGTGGAGATGATTAATGTATAGAATAAATAAAATGGACCTTAAGTGGCTGCCTTGAGTGACGCTAAACGTCACGGGAAATTCATCCGAGATGATGAAGTTAAACAGAACCCTGGATGATCTGTTGCGAAATGTTTAAGACATTCGTAACGGTTCATTCTCCTTTAAGGAAGCCGTGCCGGAATGAAGGAATACACAACTTGATAGTGAAAACTAATTGCTGAGTAGCAATACGTTCAAGAAATTTAGGTAAGACACACAATCTGGGAAAGTTTCTACACTTCTCGACCAGATGTCGGCTTTCACATTTATGAAGTGGAAGCTACTCTTCAAACACAAGAGGAAAACATATATTTTCAAAGAAACATTAAAAATGGTTGAGATAAGACTACGTACTTCCTCAAAGCATGACTTGAGTATACGTGATGGAATGCTATTAGGCCTAGACGGGCAATTGCATTTAAGGGACGTTCACCCTTGTCATACGTCATTTTCAGAAATGATTGAAATCGGAATCGGGATTTAGTTACGATGCGTTAATATCGCCAAAGCGGTCGGAGCGATTAAAAGAGATGAAGGCGGTGAAGATGTTACCGCTTGAAGCTATCTGCGATAATTTTGATCGTGTAGGTCATTGAATCCGTTTCCCATCGAAGAGCAAATGAAGTTTTCGTATGCAGATGCTTTTATAGAATTTAATTGCTTTATTGAACACCGACGGGAAAGTGTTCCGGAGGCCGGATGAATTCATTTCCAAATTAGTTGTAATTGAATGAGGAACACGTTAATGTGTCTTACAATAAACGAAAAATCGAAAATGGGAAATGGATGTGTTGTTAGTCGTGGGCGTATAACTATCGGGACTGTTTTCGTCCGGCACTTGAAGGATTCCCTGGCGAACATTTGAATAGCAATCTTTTCAAAGAAATCTATTCACGGTATCGAAAATTATAGATGAAAATTGGGAAACATTGTCATTGTTTCTAAGCTTGTTTTAGTGTCTTCTGCAGTGTGGGCGCGGCGAGTACATGCCCATCTTGAAATTTATATTCTCAATCGATCAGCGCATGCATGTCACCAAATTTCAAAATTTTCCTATCCGTGACGATTCACAAAAATGATCCATCAAATTGCACTCACATCTAGAAATAGGGAAAAGGGGCTTATCGCAGAAAACATGGAATGGACTTTTGCACTATTTGCTGCCTTAAATCATTGAAAAGCAATCCATAATATATAAAGGTAGATATCGGCTTTCTTATTCAGAAATTTCAAACGAGTCAAATGGGCTGAGATGAAGTCGATATATCGTAATAAGTCTGCAAAAAAAAAAAAGTGCTAGCGATGGGATAGGTTAGGTCAAGTTAACTCCATTCTTACTTTTATATTTTGTTAAGCGAAAGTTTTTAGTGTTTATGTTATGTCTTATACTCAATAAATACTTGAAGAAAGTAAAATGCTTGTCATTTTTCTATCCCTTTTCCGTGGGAACATTTTTTAATGTTCGATCTATAGGATTTCATGTGAAACCGATTAACCGCTATATATAGATGCTAGCTATAGATGTATTTAGTTAACATATATAAATGGAGCATGCCTATCGGTAGATTTAACAAAAAAAAAATCAAAAATCACAAAAAAATGGAGACATTGATCGTAAACAAATACATAGTTGTATATAAACTCTTGTCTTTTTATAACATACTTACATACTTATGTGCTCTAAAGATGTCTAAGGTACATTTAATCGAGCGTACTTGAGGACTGAAGGACATAGCCCACCTAATCTAGCATAATTAAGGAATTGTGCACATCTAAGATTATATATGCGAAGAGTATGCACAATAATAAAATATAAGCATTACTAACTATATCGATAATTAAAAGTAGATTTTTGATTTTGAAATTCTTTTGCTAAATTCGTATAGAAATGAGATTTAGTTCTATAATATGAGTAATGAATTCAATGGGAAAGCAAATGAGTGAATATGCAAATACTATATAGATTAGATTGTGAAGTCCGCCTGCCGCTGTTCGTGGGAATTAATGGGGTTTACATTGTTTACGAGGTTTCTCGAGCATATTTGTACGCATTGCACACTTTTAAAACATTTCATACAAAAATCGATATTAACAAGTGTAATATAATCTATGCAAAAGATACCCTTACTCGCACAATGTATCAGAAATAAGCAGAGGCACAGCCACAGAATATGATAAAACGGTTATTATTTATATGTACGCTACTAAAAAATGGTAAGGAAACGTTTAGAGTCATTTAAAAATTTTATAAATAAACTGAGTCGCCCAAAAAAAAAATTAAAATTCAAGTTACATTCCTACATAAAATTCAAATAGCCCGAGATAGACATAGGCGTAGGGTAAGGCATACAAGCAAATTAGTTTTCATATATGCTCAATGAGTATATACTGCTCATGGTGGCTCCGATGCGTAGTTCACGAACATACATTAAATTTACTAAACTCCTTTTTGAAAGATTTAAAAAATTACGCTGTATTTATACTGAGGCTAACTTGGCACACTTGGTATACGCCTAAGATGTATTTTGACCTTATTTCCTTAGTATTATATTAGGTACAAGAAATATTAAAGGTAGCCTGATTAGAATTGTTTGGTATATCGGAAGCAGATAAGCAGATAAGTCTCCCCCAAAAGAATTATCCAATCCATCCAACAGTTCTCTAACACGATACAAGTCTTTTCTATTGAACGGTTTGTCGCAACACTTAAAACATGTCTCCGTTTCCACATCTCCATTATCGTGCATACTCTTCTAATAAGATCGGGCAAAAATGTTAATAAATTCGTTAGCGAAAGTATCCATCGTAGAGTTAAGGCAACTGAAACATCCGCGAAAATATCTAATTGGACAAAGGACGCAACTTTTTTTCAATAATCAATCCTATCGTTTATGAAATTGAATTGAGTTTAATAAAAGTGTTCAGGGTATCCTGACGCTTACCGTCTGCCTTAAAATGCTTTTAGTTGTTCTAGATCCATATCATTGAAAACGATAGAAAGCCGTTTAGTAATTGAAGAAGTATCCACTTGAGATTAGTGTCGAAGCAAAACGGAATTTCTTATATAATTCTCTCTTCATAATATATCGTCAGAATGTCAGAATGTTTAAATTGTATTTGAGAAGAGAAAAGTGAATAATAAAAGTTAGCATAGGGTTTTCATGTTTTTTATTTTCATTTTCGCTTTCTTTTATTTATGTAAAGAAATTTTAATGAGTTTAGTCCTTAGCAAATGCATGCTTAGAAGCCAAATGAAACTTTGCGTCGTTGTTGTGAAATTTGTAACCATAAATTAATGAGAGGTTTAAGATGGACATTTCCCCTTGCCTCAAAGTACAAACACGCAGAGGAGATCGTAAAGCATACGAAGGAAAAAATTATAAACATTTTGATTTCAATTCGTTACCCTTCCATATATCGTATGAGTTTTCGTTTAATATCTAATTACAAGATGAAGCAAATATTTGCAAACTTGACGTGAATGGAAAGGAATGAAGAGAAAAATCCTGTGCAATTGTGACTTTAACAGGCCGGCAGTGGTGCATTTTCTGAGGATTATTTTTATGTATTTGAAAATTTGATGCATCCTGTTGTATCCTTGTGGGATGTATGAATGAAACTTACATCCAACCTGATGGGAACTTGGTGGGGGGGAAAAAAAAACCCTATTCGTAATAATATTCCAATATTCCTCTCGATCTTCGTAGCGCAAGCGAGTCGCATGGGTGGCATAGGTTTAAAAATGTGTGATCGATTTTGCAAGATGAACCACAAAACTAGTTTACTTATATCATACCGCGCTAATCTGCATAAGCAAGAGTGACTTAAATATTCATTTGATCGAGTAATCAATCAACGTAGCTGTTAATAAATTTGTTAATGCTCTTCTTACATAACAGGATATAACAGTGACTTAAATTCTACTTCCTCGTCTCTCGAATAAACAAGCTAAACAATAGCAATAGATGTGTTTAGTTTCTCTTTAGAAAAACACATAAAAAAAAAAAAAAGGAAAAAAAAAGTTGAGAAGAAAAACTAAATAAAAATGACAGCATCTGGTAGTAATTTAACGAAAGAATACACACAGTGGTCGCAAAATCAACGCAGCCATCAATGCCGCAGCCAGCATTATAATGATGGCAACTATCAAGCCGATCGACCAGAAAAGCTCAAACACCGTTCCACTAGCAGATGTCATATAAATGAAGTCACTTGGCTGTTCATGTTATGCTTATTGGTTCTACTACCACTTAATGCATTCGCCAATCGTAAGTTTGATTGTTGCTTAACATTTCATTCATCATCACTGAATATTTAAAAAAAAAAAGCAAAAAAAAATTTTTTTTTTCTTTTATTCATTTTTCGTTTTTTTGCATATTATTACATAAATGTAATTAAACTTGAAAAAGAGATTTTTTTTTTTTTTTTTTTTTTTTAAATTTAATGCATTTTAATTGTTTCAGTATGTAAAAAGTTACGCCAGGCACAGTTTTTATGCTTAGTTTAATGCGTTAACATTATGTATATGAAATAACAACAAATATATTGTAGAATCTAAACAATGTATTGAGCCGTAACACTCCTTCAAACATTAAATGTTCTTTTCTTTTTTTTTTTCCATATTCACATACTTACTCATGGAAAATATTTATTTTATCGCTTCACGTAACGATAGGCTTAATATTTTTTAGACAATCGAAGGGCACATAAGTGCATAATGATACATATTTTGCAAATTTGCTTATTAATGGTCTTTACGTACTGAGAAATACTTAAATTTTCATTACACTTTACATCGTTTTCTTTGTGCATTCGTTACAAGTTACGAATCTTTGTTCAGTGCAAAAAACAAAAAGAAACACAAAAAATTAAAAAAAAAAAAAAAAAAATTGAACAAAATTTCATTGCACATCTAACAGCAGGCTGACTGCTTGCTTCACTTGTACATGTGCTTCATATTTTATATTAGCTTTTCGCTCTCATTTTCTGTTTATTTTAAAAGAATATTTTTTTTTTTTTGCAAGTAAATTTTATGGCTACCGCGTGTTAATGAGAACGCATATATATCAGTAAAACGAAACCTGAATATGATGTTTATTATGATTAAAAAGCATAGAAAACAGTTTGCGCGTTGCTTATACGTGTATAATTGAATATAACAACGCAATGTAAGCGCAATTGCACGTATGCTGAGGTGGGATATGCGTTCAGTTGACCTTAAAGGCCTTAAACAATGCAATGAAAAAAAATTTAAATTACGGTTATGTGCGGGAAATTCGTTAAAGTGAGTGGTAGTTTTGATACGCGATGATCCTGTATGAGCAAAGCGTTCTTATTTTCACATAATGTATGTTAAAATATTATGAGAGTGTATAGCCAGTGGCGGAAAAAGAAATTTTTTTTTTTTTTTCCATAAACATTCGGTATTAAAATATGCGGAAATTGAAAATGAATTAAATTTGTATATCAATATGAGTGCACTATATATATATATATATATATATATGTGTGTGTGTGTACTATACGGTAATATTTAACAACAAACAATTTCCCGCAAATGTTGATTAGCTCTCCGACGTAAATATTTTAAATTTATATTAAAAATAGAGAAAGGAACACCTCTTACTTATCCAATCAATAGGTTACGACCCGACTGTGCAATCGTAAGTTGGGCTATTTGTAGAATGTGTTATACATAATATGTTTTGCTTTGATTGCGTTACTAACCTTACTAAGAAGACTGAGAAAAAAGGCCACAACTTTTGAGTTCCTTTGTACGATAATTTTTTATATCTTATCGAGAGAGTTACTTGAATAGCGATGGACACATGAGCTTACTTTCGCTTTTGATGATAAAACTTCACAGAAACACATACACACACACACACATCGTGAATTTCATGAATAGTGAATTCAATTCTCGCCGTTGGCGGGTAGACAAAATTTAAAAATGAATGAATAAATAAATAATGGTGAGAACAAACCTTGAGAATGCAAACTCGTTATGTGAACTCATGTGATATTAATATGCGTTTCTTAAGTAAAACCACGGCCATTAGCGTTGGGCAGCGGGCAGCGGGCAGCGGGCAGCGGGTATTGCATCAACATGAAAAAATTATGAAACCTTTGCATTCCTTGCAATACTGTATGAAGTTATTTTCATCATTATCTTTTCTCCTTTCTTTTACAAATAAACTTCGACTAACCGAAGAATTAACTTGAACGCTTTTTTTTTGTTCTTTTTTTCCTTTTTTTTTTTTTTTTTGCTTAATCAGCAATAGAACAAAAGAACAAAATTAAGAAAATATATAATGTAAGCTGCTAGCAGAGAAAAATATAACTTAATACGTTGCGAAATCGGAACTATTCGCAAATAAATTGCGCAGGTAACTAAGAAATCTTCAGCAAACTTTAATCGAACTGACTGAAGCACTAGAATTAAGTAAACATAAGTAGTTAAGAAGAAATTATAAAACTGCAAAATAATCTCGAGGCTTTTATTAAGAAAAAAAGTTTCCTTTGTCCTGTCGGAGGATTTAAGGGCATAACATAATTCCACCTTTCCAATTGCTAGTTGCAGCGTTCCTCGGAGCGAAATTATTGATAACCGATAAGGCAGGAACTTTCAGATATGAAAGTTATAGCTTGAGCTCCAATATGGCTTTCTTTCCTCATTGCCTCTCGCCTGATTACGACAGTAAAGTTATTGAGGCTAACCCGAAAGCAGGCAGTCTCTATACTCGATCCGTTTAATGAACATGGAAAGCATAATTTCTATCACACAATAATCGTATCAGAAAATGTGTGAGCTGAATGCGACCGACTACGCAGGGCTTAGACTTCAATGACCACAATCGCAGATAGAAGAAGTGAAAGTTAAATTTTGCATCTGCAGGCAATAGTCACCACCGTCCACACCGAACTACAAAATCAAAGTTGAATTGTAAGTGAGACAAACACTTAATCAAGACCTCACCGAAATATCTAACCACAGTTAGAGCTGCTGTGCTACTTATCGCAACGAATGTAAATGATACGCAGTCCTTCTCTTCTTCAATGTAGAAAAATTGGCAGCTCTGGATGCCCTGGGCATGAAAATGCCCAAATGCTGTGGACTGGGCAGGACATACATGCACATTGTCAAAGAAAGGTTCAAGTACTTCAGGACTTTACGAAGGTCCCAATCTCGCTTGCTAGTTGAAGAGATCTGTGTCCGACAACTGCGATACTCTTGAGTATAACCGTAACGTAAACCGTTTTCCGCATATTTATAGGTATTCCCAAGACGAGTGTTCTACGTAGATAAAAGAAATTTGCATTTTCACCAGCTCGTCCTAAAGTCACGCGTATACCGCGCATTGCATGCGTTACCGCGTCGCATCGTTCTTTAAACGGATTAACTCGTCTCTGAAACAAACTATTAACAGGTTTAAGTCGAACATGAGCGAACACTACTCCCTCTTTCCCTTCTTCTCCAGTTATACGCTCTCCAGGAGCAAATGTATTGGCGACATTCTCCCAATAGCTCGTGAACATAAGTACATCAATAAACTATGGCACTTGTGATCTCAAAATATGCAAAAAATTAAACACACAATGTCACAAGACATTAGTAAAATGAGATTTTACAGCATGTACACGGAACGATACCCGTACTCTGCTTCGTACTAATTGCATTTAAAAATACTCTTGATTGATTTACTTAGAGGATTGATAAAATTGTGTGTGTGTGTCAGTGCGAGGGACTTAGCTCCAGCTAATATGCACAAAATTTCTTATCATTATGCGAGGGTGCGACGGCGATTGCCTTTCCAAACAGAAGATAGTATTGCAATGGCGTGCAGGCCCACTATTCGGAATGGCATTGAAATATGAGCAAAATAGTCATACAAGTTAATTGAAAATTGGTTTACAAAAATAAATGAAAACAAGTGAAAACACTATAATCGGTATAGGCTGACTTTTAAGTACTCTACACCAGATTGTCTAACAAAATTCTATTCTCTGCTTCTTTGTATGAAATCAATTTTAAGGGCACTGTGTGTAAAACATACATCCGTTTGCAAGTAAAGGCTAACTGCCCGTAAGAGTGGTTGCGCCCAAGAGGCTCAAAAATTGAGCTGGTTGCTCAATTGCTTTTATGGGTTAATTTTCATCATAACTTATTAAAACTTAGATATTTGTGCCCTATAGGGTCCGGAACATAGGTCGAGACAATCCACATTTGGTGCAGTTAATTTTTTTTATTTCAAATTGCTATTTTGATCTGATTTTCATTATAAAGCATCGAAAACTAAAGCTTTTTGTCATATGAAGCTTAGTTGTCGTTATATGAAAGGCGATTCAAAAAATTGCCCAAGTCAATCCAAAGTTTAGAATACCAAAATGTTATTACTTAGCCACTTCTGCCAAGAAATTATGAAAAGTGCAATTGTTTTTCATATAACGACTTTGCAAAATAGGTTGGGGGGGTTGAAAAACCAAACTATTTTCAATAGCGTTCGTCCTTGGATGGACAATCAACCATTGCTAGAGAAAGATAATTTGCCTGAGATATTACCTGTGCATCGCCAAATTATGTCCTATACTCACGTACGATAATTACAAGAAGTTTGAAGGCATTCGAATTGAGAGTGAGTAGAGAGCAAGCGGCGAGCTAAGTTGAAACACATTATACCATAAGTTTATTATCTCCGAACAGATCCATCGGCATTGCAGAATGTTGCATAAAACTCATTTCACTTGCAGTTCATTTTGGTACTTGCAACTATGTTTTTACATATATACATATATACATATGTATATATATCTAACAAAGTCTAAAGTGGGACAATAAGTCTTGGCTATTATGTTCGAATATTTCCGGAATATGAATTTCTCCTTATTCATTGCTTTTTGGACAATTTTAGAATATTGTAGGAAGGTTTCCGATCTAATATAGAAGAACAGAAAAAGAAAAGTACACCACAGGATGGTGTTATCCTTTCAAAATTCAATTGACATATTTAAGAAAATAACAATTCGTGCGAGAAGATGCAAGGGTAGGGTTACTGCCATTAGTGGTGAACCTTTTCTTTACCTTTTCGAAATCCTTTTTAAGAAATTGAAACGAATTTTTCTAAGTAAAGAGAAACTGAAACTGTTCAAAGTGGTTGCGTGGCCGTGTAGTCCAGTAGTGAGGCCATTCGGCAAGTACCCGAGTGGCTTGGATTCGATTACTGGTACGGGAAAAGAACAGCTTGTGGTGTATTTTACACATGTGCACAGA